GAGAGAGAGAGAGAGAGAGAGAGAGAGAGAGAGAGAGAGAGAGAGAGAGAGAGAGAGAGAGAGAGAGAGAGGTGCGCACTGGGCGCAGGACAAGGAACAGGAACGGTTCGTACCCGCTGGCTGAGTTATTGTAACGGTGCGCGCCGGCTGGGCGTACGGGAATGGTTCGAAGATGGCTGGATTTACATAGTGTGCTGGGAAGTGGTGCTGAGTGGCCATGAGAGACATGCGTGGTTTGGTGCTACGCCACAAAACCAGCTTCAACACCTGTGGTCATAATGATAAAGCACAGAATCAAATTGATACATAGTTGCAATGTACATTGCATGACATAATGCGTTGGGACAATAAGAAATTCCGTTCCATTTAATATATTTCTTAGAAATCTTTCTTAAGAAACCAATTTGCTACAAAGAAAAGAATATCACTTAAAACCCTTAGATTACGATCACTTTCCGCAATCTGCTATTTCACCATGTAACGGCATAAAATAAGCTCGGCATATTGCATCATATGCAGATTCAACTTCATCAGTGCATTGCCTCATTCCCGGCCGATCAGTGATATAAATGGTCTGCGCCTGAGCACCAGCGCCAAAAGCATGCTCCTCACTCCTCTGAAATTCCACTGAATTCCATTTACGCTCGAATCGATAGTCCCAATACATTCATCGAGAGTCTGCACATGACACGCTTTCTGCGGTAACAGGTCACATCACCCCTTCAATAATTCAATAAGCTCCACTCATCCCCAGCTGCCTCCCATCTCTGCTCAGCACAGCGCACAAACTAGCTCTCATATAACCATTATCGCAGTCGCCAGTCGCCGGCGAGCGCCGTGCCTCGGCCCTATGTGGGCCACAACTCTTGGGTAATGATAATGGAATGCTGCCAGATAATGCCGAGACGACCACTCCTGGTTTAGTGGCTGGATGCCAGGCGCCGCCACTCTTCGATCCTTTACGATTATCACAGTCAATCGGGGCGTTTCCACCACTGCATTAGTGCTTCTTATAATGCCATCACGTATCCACGCCCATAGGCAGGGCCAGCTAGTTGTATATAATTAAAATAAAGGTCGCGGTGAATTGTACTAAGGCGTCACAGCTGGACTAGCTATATACGCAGCTATTTCCATATACGGAGCTGCCTAACGAATGGTCATAATTGTCTGATTGCTTATCGTACGACTGTGGCGATTCATTTCCATATAGCCATTGCTTTGTCATGCAAGTATGCCGTACAAATCGTTAATGAGAAAGTTATTTGGCGCCTCGCACAGTAGGCATTTGGGTAGGTGCAGCAATCAATTCACGCTGTAACTCATGCAACTGTTCTCCAGTCGCTTGTTTTCATTCCTAAAAGAGTTTCCATTTGAAGCGCAAGCGACATTAAAAGTGAAAAATATGATGAAAGAATCACATTAAGCGGGATGTTCTGTTAACCCGCGCACCGACGGGGGTCTGCGCCAACTTAGTACCGACGGGGGGGGGGGGGGGCGGATGACCGCCCCCCCCCCTGAGATCTCGAGAACGAAGCAAGATAGCGACAAGCGGTAAACGGCATCGGATACGCACGGTCAAGATCTACAATTTTTACTAAGGTCATTTTCAGGTCAGGTCAAAGATGACGTCACAGGGGTCGAAAAAGTCAAAATGGCGGCGCTAAATATGGAGAGAGTTGTTCTCGAATAACTTTCGAATTAGTCAAGATAGGAACAAACTAAGGGCATCATCGTGATCCTCTCGTCAATCCGCATCGAATGATATATATGTTGACCTCGAAAGGTCAAGGTCAAAGGTTGACCTCAGGTCACGTGACCTCGAGGTCATCATGTATATCATTCGATGCGTCTTGACGAGCTGAACACAATGAGACCATCCACGCGTCTGTATCTTGTTCCTGTACGGAGTTATTGGCCAAAAACCTTTGGTGACCTTTGATGACGTCACATGACCTCACAGCTGCCCAACAGCAAAACAGACCTCAAGGTAGTGAAGGTTGATCGTATATGAAGTCATGTATGGTATATGGGGCCATTCCGACCCGTTTTAGTGGTAAAAACAGGGAGTTGATTTTTCCCCCATTGACTTATAATGGGGAGGTCGCGAAATTGACCTGACCTTAGGTCACCGATATCAAAATTCCGAGATATACAAATTGTAGCTACTAATGACCTAATAACATCCTGCGACTTTCAAAGGCCTCCGACATCTACTGTAGCTCTGGCACGGTGACAAAGTTGCAAAAAAGTGACTTGAGGTTGGGTCATTCAAAGTGACCTGGTGACCTGACCTTGAAAGGTAGGAGGTTCAAACTTGCACACCATGTGTAAAATTGATAAGGGAATAGTCATACCAAATTTCGCGGCGCTACGCGCCGCGGTTTTCCCGCTATTCGCGAAAAAGCTCAGGGGGGCGGATATCCGCCCCCCCCGTCGGTGCGCGGGTTAAAAGTGCACCAGGAAGGCCTCATTTTTACACATAATATGTTTTGTTAGCAGCGGGTCTTACAGTAACCGTAAAAGGTTTTGTTGTTCTTTTATTACGGAGCGAGCGAAGCGAGCGTAGTCTTTCCTTAGATTAACGGAAATTTCGGAGTATGAGCGGCCGGCCGGCCGGCCGGCCGTGCGGACGCTTTTGCGAGGCTTATATTTCAGCAACCACTTGACCGATTTACACGCGGTGATTTTTGTAGGGTAGCTTCATTCCTTCTACCAAGTATTGGACTATTCCCGATGCATGTGGGTGACCCCTTATGCACGTGCCACGTTCAAAACGAAGAGGTGTCAGTTTTGTAATTGTTGCAATATCTCGGTAACTACTCGGCCGATTGCGCTGCAAGTTGGCATGTAGGTAGGCACCCACTAGGCACTGCATATCCATGTGCCAGAGTTGGGGTGTTGCTGCACGTGCGCACGTGCAGGGGTCGTTTCCAGATCTGGAGAGCGGCTGGACCGATGGCGCTCAAATTTGGTACACGGTTAGGGACCAGTTAGTAGGCTAATTTGGGACCCATTTTGCACGTGCGCACGAGCAGGGTGCCGCTTCCAGATCTCGAGAACGGCTGGGCCGATTGTGCTCAAATTTGGCACATCGCTAGAGACCGGTTAGTAAGGTGCCGTGCACAAGTCCGTTGGAGGTACCCCCTCGAAATTTCGCACGTGCAAGGCCCACCCTCTCGCTCGCTCCGTTAGTCGCCCCAAAACGCGTTATACTGGTATGTAAGCATACATTTATGACACATATACTTTCTCGGCAATTTCATACTAGAAGGACCATAACTTAAAACATCAAGCCTGAACGTAAGTCTCCGCAATCCCACAACAATCTCACTACATTGCCAACAATAGTTAAAATAACTGAGCCCACTACAGCGGCTGTGTCTGTCCCCGCGACTGACCTGCGATGTCGACCTTTTTCAGGGCGGGCAGCGCTCGCAGCAGCTGACCGTCCAGCTGGATGAGGTCGTTGTCCCGCAGCAGGAGGCGGCGCAGGGCCGGCAGGGGGGTCAGCACGTCCTCAGTGAGCGCCTGAAGTGAGTTCCTACTCAGGTCGAGTTCAGTGAGCGCCTTCAGGCCAGAGAGACCACCGGCCGGCAGCGTCACGATGTGGTTGCCGTCCAGCCGGAGCGTGCGCAGTCGCGGCAGACCGGCGAACGCGCGCGCATCGATGACGTCGATCCTGTTTCCGCTGAGGTCGAGCGATGTGAGGGCGGCGAGCGGAGTCAGCGCTCCCGAGGAGATGGAAGTGAGGTTGTTGTCGGCGAGGGAGAGTGTGGTGAGGTCAGCGGGAAGGGCGGAGGTCAGTTGAAAGGTCAGAGGACCTGCCAGGAGGTTGTGGTCCAGCGAGAGACGCTCCAGACTGACCAGTGGCCGCAGGGCGCCACTGGACAGCTGGGTGACATTCAGACGGTTCCCCTCCAGCCACAGAGTCCTCAGCGCTATCAAAGTGGTGAACGCATCAACATCAAGCTTCGAGAGCTCATTTTCGGCGAGGTTCAGTTCGGCGAGACTGCCGAGCGCCGGCAGAGCACCCGCCTTGACCTGGCGCAGCTGGTTACCACTGAGGTCAAGCCGCTCAAGGCTAGTGAGACCAGTCAGCGCCGCTGTTGGCACGTCCACCAGCTTGTTCTCGCCGAGACCCAGCGCACGCAGCGAGGTCTCCAAACCAGTTAGGAGGTCAGCGGGAAGCGACTGCACCCGCGACCCGGATAGCAGGAGAGCCTGGAGCGACGCGCCCGAGAAGAGGCCTCCCGGCAAGGAGGACAGGTCGCGCAGCACGAGGTCCACCAGGGTGACGTCCGGGAGCGTTGGCAGGCGGCCGGTGACAGCGCGCAGCTCGGCAGAGTCTGACAGCTGACAGTGCAGCGCGCCCGGCTGCTGACAGTGACAGCCGGCCAGCTGCTGACAGACACCGGCAGCATTGGTGAACGTGACAGCTGCTTCAGCTGGGCGAGAAGCAGCGACAGACACAGCTGCTACGGCCGCGGCTGCGACCACCGCCAGCCACCATCTGTGAAAACAAACATTGAGAGTTAGTCTCATTCATATATGCTACTCCCTGCTACAAGCCAGCCATTTATAGGTTATGCACAAAACCCATGCACACATACGCACATGCAAATGAATGCAAATGAGCACACTAACTGGGATGACCTCAGTTTTCACCGCCGCCGCCGCGGTGGTCGCTGGAGTATGTCAGTGCTGAGTCAGCAATTCTGCACCATATGGGGGCGTGCTGAGGAGGTGGCTCCGGCTGGGCTGGCCGAGTAGGGCCTTCCGCACCCGGCCGCGTCCCGAGCTCGCGTGCACAGCCTTGGATGCACAGATAGAGAATCGAAAAATTGCATACGTCAGTGCATGCAATTCTGGTGCTCAGACCGGCTTAGGGTAATAATCGAAGGGAAATATCAGCGCGGTTGATGAGCGCTTCACAAATGAGGCTTCAGTTCATTGAGATTAAGCCGAGGCGATGCTGTTGATTGACATTTAAGGTTTCTGATGTAGGGCGGCATTAGCGTATTGAACCCACATAAGGAGGGATTAGTCTAATGCGTCACTTCAAGAGTGCATTGCAAGATATCACGTCCGCTTCAAGGCATATTTTGGCAGGGGTGCCAACGATAACGCAACTAAAAAGTTAAGGGTGTATGTAGTTATGCAAAAGTTGTGTGATTCTGACGTAAAAAAAAAAACGAGTCAGGACGCAAACGTACAGTCTTTTCTGAGACATGTGCTGTCTGATGTTCTACTTATCTAAACTTCAAATGAAGGGGAGATATTATCTGAGTGTTGCGGAGTACAGCCGTTATTCTTTTCGTTTTGCAACGTGTTCCAGTAAACGATTAATCGTTTACTCTCGAATAATAGTGCTTTTTGCAGCTTCTTTGGAATTTCATAAGGCTCTTCTTGAAAACAGATATCGAAATAATGATTAACCCTCGCCGGCCGAGGGGGGGGGGGGGGGGCGGGTGCCGCCCCCCCATAGGGTTTTTTCGCGATAGCTCCGAACACGCTGGCGATAGAGAGCTGAAACTTGGCATACCTGACCTTTGATCCAAGCCGCATCTTTTGACACCAACCGCATTTTTGGGTCAGGTCAGGTCACTGACCTATGACGTCATAAGTGAACCTCTGCACGGTCTTCAGATGTCGCAACTTCGCAACGCCCTCACTGCCAGAGGAGATGTCACAGGGAAATGAAACTTGCAGGATCTAGTATCCATTATGAGTCCCACAACTTGTATATCTCGGATTTTTCCTAAAGGTCATATGAGGTCAGGTCATTTTCGTGACCTCACCATTATAAGTCAATGGGGAAAAATGAAAACTGCTATTCTGGCGCCGGGAACGATCTCCAACTATCTCAAGCACACAGAATCGTGATTTGATGCACTCCTTGCAAGGTTAGATGCGTCACTTTTGCAATGTTGACCTTTCGTGACGTCATTTATGACGTCATCAAGGTCATATTAGTTTTTCGTCAATAACTCTTGATCAAATTGAGCTAGCGAGTCGGGAAAGGCACCAATGGACTCAGGAAGACTTGCCGAATCGAATGATATGCGACATGACCTCTTTCGACCAACCTCGTGACCTGGGGGTGCTGACCTGACCTTGACCTGAGGTCAACACCCCAAGTTGACCTGACCCAGACAAAAAGTATATCATTCGACGCGCCTGAGCGAGACGAACACGATGCTGCCAAAATCGGCGCTCTGCGGCCGTTTTTTGCGAAGTTATTCACCAAAAACGGAACCGTACCTTGGGGCACTTGACCTGACCTCAGAGGTCACCGGTTGACCTAGGACCTTAAAATCGGGTACCAATCTCTGCGTCTCGTAACGGCGCACACGCTCGTTTTTTCCGCGACGCGCTAGCTCCACCAGGGGCGAAACGGCGAGGGGGGGGGTCGTACCCGCCCCCCCCCTCGGCCGGCGCGTATGTAGAAAACCAATAGGTCCGGCGAGGGTTAAATCACACATTTCTTAGAAACATGTGATTAAAAGAAGCGCATCAAAATTCATCGCCACATTTCCCGTAAATGAACGTCAAACACGCCATCACGTAGCTATGTAGACGGCCGATAGCACAGGCACGAATTATGATATGTTCTACGAACATTCCGCGGCTTATCTTCAGTTTCAGTCGCCAAACCAGGAACCTGTATGCATAGCGCACGCCAGGTGTAAATTTGTTCTGGCTGATTCATCAAAGCACAAACTTTTTTAGGGAAGTATGTGATCGATGTAACCTATCAATCATTTTATCAAAGTTCTTCCCCGCCGAGATATCTCAACATGTGCAATCAGGAATGTAGAATGTTAAAATAGCAATCGATCAGCGATATAATCCGAAAATCGAAAACATCGGATAAGAGATTCTCTTTGATGCTGGTTATCTCCTTATCTTCATTAAAATCGGCTTTTCTCACTGCTTTTCGAGGCCATCTGCCATTTTCTTCCATCCCGCATTAAATGGAAATCTTCTCATCATGAACCGTGGATTAGCCTAGGCATGTAATGAGAGCACCAAGCCCATCGCTGATAACTGGCCGTGTGGCGTCACGTTCGTTCCAGAGACTGGCCTGTTCTGGTGCGCCGCTGGTCGCCGCCAGTGCGTCGCAGACGTCTCCGGCTCGCGCGTCATTAGTGACGTGGTGAGGGACTGGTTTGGTCTATCAGTGGACCATCAGGCACGAGCGCCAGCGCGACAAAACATGACCCGCACGCAGAGCTATGGGGACACGGTGCAAGGGACGAGGTCGACCAGTGCTTGCCTAGCGTTGTCAGCACCGTTTATAAGACTAACACTTCAAGCAAGGTCAGGATGAGGCGATGATGACTCGTCAAGCGATGAGTTAAATGAAGTCGGGTCAGCTAAGCCCCCGGAAATCGTGATACGTCATTAACGATTCCCCGAAGCGTCTCCAGTTGTGTAACACAGTTTTCAGTGTGTCTATGATAAATGAGATACGGCTGTCGTGGGATGGAGAAAAACCGATCGCTGAATGTGATTTCATCATATGACAGAGCTGGTAACGGCGAAGCCTCCAGTATCCGAGTCTCTACTCGGATACAAGATGGATAGATACCTGCAGCAGTCAATCTATGACAATTAACGTGCTGTCTGTATCTGAAAACAGATCGGGTGGCCCGGTGCATCTATTGATTTTCTCACAGGACTTCGTTGACGAGCTTGACGTTCGAATGATTTATGACTGAATACGTTTATCATAAGATGAATGCCAAAAGGGAATCTCATGTTGTTACAATGGTGTTTGGTAAGCTGTCTGCTGTCCGGTTTTCAATAAATGCGTGTTAAGTAGCAATAAAACTCAACATATGTAAGCATTTCATGCCTCATGAAAATGCAAACTTTAGCCATCTGCTAGCTTACCGTGGCTGTGGAAGTGCGGCAGAAACGTTGCGATACTTTGCTTTGCTTAAGTTCATGCATTGGCTATAAAATATGGAGTAACCCTACTTTTGTTTCACTTTGTATGCAAATTGCATTATTCACGAGCACTTCGCTTCACTCTGAGAAGCTTGCAGCATGATCTAAGCATACGAGTATCTCTCTATCTTCATATTCCATACCTTCATAGACGTAGTTATATTTTTCGACGGCAATACCACCATTAATCTACAGCTCCACTAGTTTCTGCCGCCGTCTGTGCTATCCAGACCTCAGGTAGGACTTGTGACACCTGCACCAAACCCACTCATTTATACTTAGCGCTCTCTCGGTCAGCGTTACCTGTTGGAAGCTACTGGCGCGAGGAATGCGCCCTCTCCGCCGGCGGCTGTGCGTATAATCCTTCCAGGGACAGCCCGCTCCTACCGCGGCCGGTCCGTCAGGATTTGGCAGCCGGTGTGACACCATCTGGCAGCCGGTGTGACAGCGCTCACAATACGTCCCACGTAATCCGCTTATGTGGCTGATGTGACGCCTGAGGATGGAGGGCAGGCGAGACCGCTACATTCCGGCCGGCTGATTCTGCCCTCTCCGGGTCCGAAACCCGTCCGGCTGAGCCTGGTCCTCTCCGAACTCAGCTGGGAAAATCCTGTTGTTAGGGCGCGAGACGCCACTGCCGAAATCTTCTGCCGACATCGTTCATTAGAACTGGCCAAGGCTCAACATGATATCTGTGACTCTTGGGTTGGCGCGCCTTGAGCCCAATCATTCTTCTGGGAACTTCTGTCAAAAACAACGACATCATTCGAATGATGGCAATATATTTGTCGCTGTAATAAATATCAAAACATCATTGCTATGTTCGACTTTACAATGATGCGTTTATTTGGGTCAAAATAGCTACCAGCAGGTGAGCGAATGCGGCTGGAATGCGGCCCAGTCGCCATCACTGCACCTGCCGCACTCCAACCTTTTCCTGATCGGTAAATGTGAAGACCCAGCGACTGATGTCGTGTGTAAGCGCTACTGCATGTCCGACATTGAATCCTGTCTTGCTTCATTGGTAATTCAAACATCAAAGTCAAGGGTTGGCTGGCTTGCAGCGAGCACAAATTTCCTCCCTGAAAGGCTGCTACCACGTCGGGTAATCGCGGCCATCGCGGATTGCGGTTCAGAAACCTGTCATCCAATCAAGCGGCGGCGCTCGGCCCGTGTCAGAGCGGGGGGGGGGGGGGAGCAGGGGAGGGGGCAGACAGGTAGCCGGTCGGGGCGACAGCAAGGTCGCGTGACCGGCGGCAGGCTCATGTTTCCGGCGACCGTGGGCGGCACAGCGACTTAAATGGGTGCGACATCAGTTGGAGGGGACGGGACAGGACCGGCTGGTCAACGACTGCTCAGCCCCGCCATCTGCTAAATAAGGGACCTGTGCTGTGCTGCATTTGAAACAATATACGTATACGGTAATTTGATTTCTTTTTTTTAATTTAAGGAGCTCGCAGTGATAGAGTGGGACAAATCGTAATCTATTCGCGTTGTCATCCAATGGATTGGAAGTATGACAGAGTTGGAGGTCAGGCTAAATTAACGCTGAACAAAAACAAGAGAGGGTAGACCCAGTGCAACGTATTGAGGGCGAGGCCGCTCGGGTCAGGCGTCAAGCCCCTGACAGGCGCAGACAATGTGGCGACGCCCTATTCAATTGCCAATGCTGAACAGGTGATATCTAGTCATTGCCATGGCACACGGATATGCAAGATCAACCACTCTGTTAGATCGCATGTGCCAGCTAGACATGCGACTATAGGTGGACGGACATGCAGCTGTCCCTCAGCTAGCCTCACATAAAGCTGTCAGTTGGCGCAGCTGCTGAGACCACGGCTGATAACAGAGTTAGGAGCCGGCATTAGGTGACACGCTACATAAATAGGTGGACGACTGTATCGTCGCTTGTGGTCACCGAAAGTTATGTTTTTGTTGTGTCTATGACCTGGTGAAACATTGAGTCGTCTTTGTGCTTTATATCGGTGTGAGGGTGGAGTTAGAATACCGCAGAGCTGATGTAATGGAGGTTGCTGTGAACTTGACAAACTAAAGCTGTGATACATAACCATAGCCCTGGTTATCATGCATGTAATGTAATGGATTATGAAACATTCATCACTGACGTTGTGCGCACACGGCTAACAAATTTGGACATTTTGTCCTTTCTGGGAGGGCAAGGTAGTAAAAATATTCTACTTCAACATCCCTCTCCGTTTTAACCGATAATAGCCGTTTTCACGACGGCCATCTGGTACACATTTGGTGCACATCTGGTGCAGATCAGGTGCAGATTTGGCCAAATCAGGTTCAGTGCGTCTCTTAGTAAATGTCAGGTAGCATTGCAATAACTGCTTATATGCCTGCTTTGTCATATTATCAGAGAGCATCATCGATTAAAACACTGGAATAAATTCATAAAATAAAGATATTTGCTGTAAAAGAGATTAGGTGCAGATTTGGTCAAATCAGGTGCACTCGCCGGAAAGCTCGTCGTGAAAACGGCTAATCTGTAACGTTTGTGACATCTCCCTGTCGCGGTTCATTTCGCTACAACGTCCCTGATTGGCCCCATCTCGTACCTATGAAGAGAGGACGGCGCGGCGGGCAGCGAATCCGTCCAGCCTGCTCTGAGTCACGATTTGGGTTCCTGTGGACCGGATGGGGACTCACGGCCGGTGGCCCCGGCGGCGCCTCTTCAGCTGTGGTCCTGACTCACAACGTTCACGGAATGAATAACGCCTGCACGTGCACTTTACAGCCACTAACCGCCCTGCGAGTGTTTTGTTCGCCGCGACTGGAACTGGGGAACACAGACGACCGGAACTGCTCGGGATGACAATGTCACGACGGGTCAGCTGGCGCACACTCACGGCGAGGTCATGACCTCACGAGAGCAGTGAGTGTTCCTGCATGGGCACGACCCCGAGAGGGCGCGCAGTGGTCGTGCCGCGCTGCAGTAAGGAACCGCCCCTTAGCTCGACAATGCGTGGGGTCGTGGCACGTTTTATATCGGGAGAGAGCTGCATGCCCGTGCAATCTGAGCTCAGAGGAGGTTCTCATGCAGTCACATATGTGACCTGCAGACCATAGTGCATGGCGAATAAGTCTGTTTGATGCGTCATGGGAAAGAAATAACCGTGCTAAACGTTTTGGGTTGTTGACTCAGGCTTTGCGCTGATGAGCAAGAAGCGCTTTGGAACTTTTCCTGATAATAGCTTGGTATTGCAACAACTAACAACATTCTTAAAGTGCGTTGGTTTGGTAAACAATGGGAAATAAAAGGAATTCTGAACAATACTTGTGACGTTTAAACCGAAGTGGACAAGCCCGTTTTAAATAGTTTTCTGTCCGATACCTATCCGGCTACTCTTGATACCTCGAGGACCATTGCAGCAAATTATTTCATATGAGATGGAGAAACGGACATCTAACACATATTTCAGCCGCAGCACGGCCCACAACTACCTGAGGCTAATGTCTTTTGCAACTTGTTGAGTACGATGCTTAGCATTTTTTTTTTGCCACATAGCATAATTTTTGGCATGCGGACGCAAAGTGCCACTGCTATAAAGAAGCGAGCTCTTCCAAGCATTTTTACTGTTTTTCAATATATTGAATCAATAGAGGGCGGCATCAGCGGTATACCGCTGATGCCGCCCTCTGCATTCGTAACCAAAATTGTCGCATGTGTCACAATTGCCGCAATACGTTCGCTGAATGACGCCATTTGAGTCTCACAAATATAAAAGGAAACAATTTACTCGCAAGAAGCCAATCATTCGCAAGGTTCTTTAGCGACAGACAAGCCAAAAATTTTGCACAACTCGCTGTGTTCTGTGTTGAAAGTTCTGCGGAGATTAAATGCATTTATTCAAATCAGCTAGGGAAGCGAGATAGGATGCGCTACATCGCAACAATATTGCATTAATGTCAGAGTCGGAATTAGATAATTTTGGTAGATCTCGCTCTTTGAGAAGATTGCGCCAGTTTTTCCGCAAGAGTTTACCGTTTCAGAAATTTCCCAGTTTGCAAACACTTCGCACCCATGAAGATGATGACGAAGAAGAGTTACTCGATTCACAGTCTTTAGACCACCCAGGTAGCTCAATTCCTAGCATTGGTGCCGAGCTGAGGCAACTGCATGAACGCTTAGGAAGACTGAAGCGTCAAGTAATGGAAATCAAAGAAAAAAACACGGCGGATTTATCGGAAATGTCGGCGGTCATAAAGGTAGGTATTTGATAATTGCAGGTACCTATAAGAATGTGATCTCAGCTAAATACACAGTATTTTGGTAGAATATAATTCTGAATACTTGATTTCAATTTTCTTTGTGACATATTAGATAGTGCATTGTTGTTCATTCCTATATAGCGGCCCATGCTCCACCGTCTCACGTTGATCTAATTGACCCACAGCGGGGCATGGAGCGCGTGGAGCTGTTCGGGGAGCAGCTGGACGATTTCGACCAGTACGTGCAGGTAGACAAGGAGAACATCCAGAACCAGATGGAGGAAATGGAGGCCAAGATTCACCACCAGATCAACGACCAGTACAGTGACCTGCAGGAGGCCATCGAGGGACTCTACCTGCGGGTGAGACTGAGGGTGGAGACTTCCATTTCGCGTCTAGCTAAACGCGTCTATGTCTTAAGGCCGGAACACAGCACACGCTTGCAAATCACGTCGAACTCGCGTCAAGCGCGGAAATCGCTTCGTCCGCTGTGTTTTCACTTGCAATTCAGCTGACCTGACCTGACCTGACCCAAAAATGCGGTTGGTGTCAAAAGATGCGGCTTGGATCAAAGGTCAGGTATGCCAAGTTTCAGCTCTCTATCGCCAGCGTGTTCGGAGCTATCGCGAAAAAACCCTATGGGGGGGGGGGGGCGGCACCCGCCCCCCCTCGGCCGGCGAGGGTTAATTGAAGGTGTTTCGCCGCTACTGCCTATCAAGTCGGCCGTTCCAATATAGCGATCCTGAGAGCACCGTCAAAGCTGTTCCACTAGCACCGGCAAAATTACCCCGCATTGCCACTCTGAAAAGTTTTGTCTACAAAGTAGTTATGGTTTTACGGAAATACATGAAATTACTCTTGGAAACGCTGAACATCCTAAGCAATGGGACCACAGTGGCCGATCCAGGGGGGAATGGGCATTTGCCCCTCCCAAACGGCATAATTTTAACATTACGCCTATGGACGAGGCATGGAAAGAATCGATAAATTGTTATGGTTCGCCCCCCCCCCCCCCCAACTCTGAGCTGGATCCAGGCGCGCACACAGGATTTTTGAATGGGGGGGGGGCACGACCTTCGAACTGGGCCCCCCATGCCGAAGGGCCCCCCCCCCCCCAAAAAAAAAATACGGCCCACGGGGCTGTATTTCGGTTGGTTTGAAGCTTGAGCAATTGGTTTGTCAATGCACGGTAAAACAATTATTTCGGTACCAGCTTAATTTTCAAAACATATATATTTTTACGCTAGGCTGTTTTTTCTCAAATGCGACTCAGAGCCAGTACATGTACCTAATCATCTAATTTATTACGTAAAACATTTCATTAATAAACATTTTTGCAGGTCCCTCAGAAATCAGCCCCGGGCAGCGACTGACTGCCGGCCGGCCGACCGGCCCCGGGTGGCTAGAAGCAGGGGCCGGTCACTGTTTGGCCCAGATGTGTAGGAGCGGGAGCAGCACTCCTTTTTCACGTATATTCGCATATTTTTTAGGCACATCGACATGAAATGTCATTATATCTGATACGATGCGGGATCACAGACTAGAGATCCAGCTTATAACTTATATTTAATGCTTAACCAATGAATCAAATCAACAGGACTATGTACGATGCATGTCGGACACGTACCAGAATTTCGCCCAAGAGGGGGTCACCTGCTGGTCACCTGACCCCGGGCCCGCGAGTCACCCGGGCGCCCGGGCCCGGGGTCAGCTCAGGCAAGGATGTACCCAGGACCTTTCGATGGGAGGAGGGAGGCACGGTGGGTCCAGTCTCACTGGCAGACGGGTCTCTTTAAAACGGTCTTTGCATGAGAAAATGTGGAAAATTGGCAAGCAAAAGTATCATTTATGCCCGAGGAGTGTGCCTAATGTACACTAATGCCTAATTTACATGGTATTTTACGAGCGAGCGAAGCGAGCGAGCTCCTCAGAGTCACCGGTGTGTGGCGCGTTCAGAGGTGCCAGTGAAAGGTCGTCAGATGCGCTGGTGTTGGGTCCTCACAGGCGCCGTTGCGGGGTCTTAGGGCTTAGAGACACTGGTGGGGCCATCATTGGCATGTGTGTGGCCCTGCAAAATGGCCTGCAAGTGGAAAGTGGCCCGTCATAGGCTGGCAAGGACACTCAGAGTCAGTAAGAGGCTGGTAAGAGGCCCTCAGAGTCACTGGTACGTGGCCCTCAGAGGCGTCGGTGTGGGGACTTTCAGAGCCGCCGATGTAGGCCCTTAAGATGCGCTGGTGGGGGTCCCTTGGAGGTGGGGCGAGGGGCCTCGCAGTTGCCGTTGTGGGTGCCTTTAGAAACACTGGTGTGGACCGTGTGTCTATCACAGACGGATGTGGAGCCATAGCAGCCAATCCCTCGTTGGCCGTTACTACTTAGGGCCCTGAGCGGCCGGCGAGGTCTCTCAGAAACCGGCATTGGGCCTTTATGAAGAAAATTGTGGCTACATAGGAGCCAATAACGTCCCCCCACAAGCCCTGTGGTGTCCTTCCGAGTTGAAGTGCGGCCAGCGCGAACCCTCTGCTACCAACTGGCGCCGCAGGGCCCCTCGGTTTCGATGGAACCCTAAACCCGAGAACGGGCACGTACCCCCTCGCTCCCTTGCTATGTCACTGAATCCAAGTGTTTAGGGGCCCTTTAGGTAATCAGGGGCGTTTCAGATGACCAGGGGTTTTCAATTGATCAGGGGCCCACCAGGTGACCATGGGCCCCTCTGGTAACCAGGCGCCCCTTAACCCTCGCCCTGGCAGGGGGGGTCGATGCGACCCCCCCTAAGGTTTTTCAAAGATAGCGTAAAAACGGCGGCGCGCAGCGCCGCCAAATTTGGCACAGCCTATGGGGCAACCTTTTTACATATGACCTGAAAATTTCAGGTCCGGGTGACCTTGGGTCAGGTCACCAGGTCAGAAAAACCGGTACAAGGTCATGGTCAAATTTCAATTTTCTTTTTGCACCTGTCCAATTCACAGGTTTGCACTGATTTCCTTCAAACTTTCAGGATGTGCTAAGTTCACCGAGTTGTATAACATATAGTTCGGATTTTTTGAGGTCACTGACCTGAGGTCAGTTAGAGGTCATTACGTCGTAATGTTAAGCCTATGGGAAAATACTAAATTCGGAAAATACTGGAGATATCCGCTTCGTTCTATCACTTTTGTGCTTTGAAACCACAGTACTTAACAGCAGGTCACTTGGTGCTTCTTTGTTTGGTGTACTTATCCATGGGTCAGGTCAAATGAGGTCAACTGAGGTCAAATGACGTTTTTGCCAATAACTTGGCACATAATGACGCTAGAGCTTAAAAAATGGTATCATTGTGTTCCTGGTGATCAGCCGAATCGAATGATATGCAATATGATGCAATTTGGTTAACTTTAACTTAATTTATTAATTTAAGTTTACTTAAAATTTAAGAAAAACTTTAAGTACACTTCAGCAAGCTAAAAAGTATATCATTCGACGCGCCTTGACGTGCTGAGTTCACTGGTGCTTTTCTCTTTGCTCTATCTTAATTAGATCAAAAGTTATAAGTGAAAAACTTTTGACCTGTTTTTAGCGAAATTTTTACATTTATACCCCCCAAAACCCCCCTAAATATTGACCTAGAGCAACCAAATTTGCACAGGGGCGAGAACTCCAGGGGGCCCACCTAACTACCAAATTTGGTGTTTCTAGGTGCCATAGGAGCCAATCGCGAGGGGGGGGGGTCGCATCGACCCCCCCTGCCAGGCCGTGTTATGAAAAATGCCCTGCCAGGGCGAGGGCTAAGTAACCAGGGACCCCATCAATAACCAGGGCCCCTCAGTAAACGGGGGCCACTCAGGTAAGTGTAGGAGTCCCGCAGATAACCAGGGCCGGCAAGGTTTCTCAGGTCCGTTTTTTGACAAGGCCCTTATTGACTCAGGTGCGGGCCCTTAGCCATCTGCAGAGGGCCCTTTCAAGCTATTTGAGGGCCGTTCAACGTCTCTTGAGCTCCCATTGAGGCCTTCTAAGGGCCCTTTGAGCAGTCGAGGGGCCTTTGAGGCCTTTTGAGGGTCTCTTGACGTCAGCTGAGGACCGTTGGACGCCAGCTGAGGATCGTTTTTGGGCCTTCTGATGGCCATTAGACGCCAATGGATGACCCTCTGACACCAACTGGGGCCCTCTGACACCAGCTAAGGGCACTTTAAGTTTGACGCTAGCTCAGGGCCCTCTGACATTAGCTGGGGGGCCCTCTGACGCTAGCTCAAGGCCCTTTGACGCTCTTTAAGGCCTTCTGAGGGCCCCTTGAGGTCTTCTAAGGGCCCCTTGAGGCTTTTTGAGGGCCGCTTGACGCCAACTGAGGACCGTTTGAGGCCTTCTGATGGCTATTTGGCGCCAGCTGGGGGCCATCTGGCACCAGCTGGGGGCCCTCTGTCACCAGCTAAGGACCCTTTAGAGCCTTCGGAGAGTCATTTGACGCAAGGGCATGGCCCTCTGACGCCAGCTCAGGGGCCTTTGACACCCTTTAAGGCCTTCTGACGTCCGTTTGACGTTAGCTGAGGACCCTTTGAGGCTATCTGAGGGCCCTTTAAGGCCATCTGAGAGTCCTTTGAGGTCATCTGAGGGCTCCTTAAGGCCATCTGAGGGCCCTTTGACACAATCTAAGGGCCCTTTGACACCAGATGAGGGCCCTATGACTCTAACTGAGGGCCCTTCGAGGCTATCTGAGGGCCTTTTGAGACCATCTGAGGGCCCTTTAAGGCCATTTGAGGGCCCGTTGTACACGGTCTTCGGTGGTCTAAGGATTAGTTAGAGGCCCATTTGAGGCGGCCTTCGGCCGCCTCAAATGGGCCCCTTCCTTCGAGTTGGGCCCCCCAACTCGAATGGGGGGGGGGGGGCACGGGCCCGTGTGCCCACCCTTGTGTGCGCCCTTGGCTGGATCCGCCTCTGTGGGACCACAATGTCAAAATTTGTCTACAGCCCGAATTCTACATGCCACTGCCAGGCATATAATTTTTCGAACGGAGGTAAAAGTTACCATTCTCTAATCAAATTTATGTTTTTCTGAATTTTGAAGAAAATTACGAAGGGGAGATTTTAAAAAAAAATCCACGGATTCCTCATTTTATGTTGACCGCATTACAAGATACCTACGTTTAAGATTTTTTTAAACGTCGAAATATAAAAACTAAACAATTTAATACGTTGTACGTATAAAATTGTCAATCAAATGAATACCGATGTGCTGAAAGCAGGAGGCCACGCCAGTATTTAGTTAAAATTGCCGTAAGCCAAGGTGCTTTATTTGGTTTCCATGGTTACTGACGCTATTACGCTTGCATTTCGCGAGCAGAGAAGCTGAAAAGTTGAAACAGATTCAACTTTTCAGCTTGCAAATCGCGCCGGTCTGATTTTGCTTGCGTTTCGCTCGCGATCTGCTCGCGTTTTCCGAGCAGGTTCCGGCGTGATTTCGCGGCGTAAAAGCGAGACGACCTGCGTGTTGGGAGCTGAAAATATGCCATGTATTGCAATGGGAAAAGCGAGATGCGATTTGCGAGCTTAAAAGCTGTGTTCCGGCCTTTAGACGCGTCTAGCTGGACGGCGGCTGCGTCTATCTGGCGACGGCTAACTTTAGACGCGTCTAGCTTGGAAGTCTCCGTCGAACAGTTAGACGCAAAGTTAGACGCCAACTTGGACGTCTGCTCAGTTAGACGCCAGTGGAAGTATCCACCTGAGAGATAGGACCGCGACGCGCAGTCTGTTGCAGTTTTACTGTTTGAGTGGGGAGGGGGATTAGTTCATATCGGGCGGCTATGATAGTAGTGCAGTGTCGATGACCGTGAGTTATAAGTGGGAGGTATCGAGGACAGCGAGGAAGAGGATCATGGGCTAACCAAACTGCGTTGTTCCTTGAGGAGTGCGCTGCATTTTAAGAACGCCCTGTGGCTTAAGGTGAATATGATTGCGGTAAAACGTAGTTGGCTCTGTATTTATTGCGCATCACTTACAGCGCATTTAAATTCAGGCATCGCCATTTAAGACAACATTTTGAGGTACAAAGTTACGTCGTACATTTTTGCCGATCTTTTGTAATCATCCGATTCAACTAAGAAGTTATGAACAAGCCAAAAGAGCACAATATACCATGATTGCTCGCATTTCGTTTTTAAATTTCAGATGGATACCCTGGAAAAGATCTATGAAGAGCAGAAACAACAACGAGATATTGAAGAAAAGGAAGCCTCATACGCGCGAAATCTAGCCGTGAAAATCATCAACATGTTCATCTGCCTGACACAGGTAAAATGATCATGCCAGTCTCGCCCATTGAGCATAACATACTTGGGCTGATGAAGCTCCGCATCTTCGCCGCCTCCCGTCACATTGGGTTATCGCTAGACCGGCCCTCAGGTATCTCATAATCCACTGCATTCGTCCCAAAGTGACTCATACACTCTTTACTCGACCCCAGTAACTCATGCCCACTGCACTCGTCCAATAAAGATATCATACCCACTTCACCCTGTCTGCAGTGACTCGATAATTTACTTCACCCAGCCCGCAGTGACCCACATCCTTTACCTCCCTGGCAGGTCATCCTACTCGTGCTGAACACCATCGCCGAGACCCTCCGACCGCTGACCAGCAACGGTGCCAACCTGGCCATCATCATCTTCGTCCTCTACCTGATCGCGACGCTGAGCGACGACGAGGTCGGTCGATCGATACGCCGGCTCTTCGGGAAGGTGCTGCCCGGCCTCAGCTTGTGGGAGGTCAACAGGTGATCGGAGATCTATGTGGGGTAGGGGGAGATGTGTGATGTAGAGGAACTTTGTGGTTTTGATGTAAAAGCTGGCTGTGATAGTGAACCCGGCTGTCTCATGTGATAGTTGAAGCGGAAGAGGTGGTGTAGCGGAGCATGTACACCTGTGATATTCAGAATAAACTCGCCGCGGTGTTGGTCGCAGGTGTCACGGCCTGTTCTCGTGCTGCCCCGCTGGGGAGGGGCGGAGGGATGTGACAGAGCACTCGCCCCGTTATCTGGACAGGCACCTAGATAAGACCGTCCTGTTCCCAGACGTGGGCAGCTGTTATCGGACAGGGTCCTTATCAGGGCGCCGAAACTGAGGGGCGGTGTGTGAGGTACGTGAACGGCCAGAGGCAGAACAGTTGTCCGTGCACGGAGAACAACACGCAAGATAACGACCACACATTGCTACAGCGCACACACAGCACAGCGTCGTCATAGTGGCACTGTTCAAACAGACCGAATGAAGGCCTATATGGTGGGGAAGAGGCAGCACAAGTCGTGCCGCTCATTGGCGCATGTTGGCAAAAGAGAGAATGTATTCGTTGCTTTGTGCAAGGCGAAGCATGCGACACGCTATAGTGCAAACGTTTGTTCGGTTAAACTAACAATGGGCAATTAACGTAAGCCACTGCCTTGAAACGAGCAAGACGTTCATGGTCAGGCATTCATCATGAGCTCGAGCCAGCGTCTGACAGAAGCGTCTGCGGCTTTACTTCAGAGTGACCGGTTACGATCCGACGCGACCATAAAATCACTCAATGCTGTTAATGCTGACGTTAACACGCCTAATATTGCACAACCAGCGGATGTCGCTAATTGAGGGGAATTTCGGCTAGGCAAAAAGCATTCCTGCCACGCCAAACATCAATGAAAAGTGCCGCCTGCATTGCCAACGTTAGCTCGGAACTGCAAAAAGGTAGCTGCTGTTTCGTTGAGGCTCAGTTGAATCAGTGGTCAGCTCTCTACTGTACAAATGCTTTTGCAATATTGACTAGGAAACGCCACACCTTGCGTTGAATATCACTAGCTTCAAGCATGTTTTCGACTCCACTTCACACAAAGCAAAGTTAGCTGAAGATCCGTCAGATGGGGTTCCTCAAGCATCAGTCGGGGAGCGCATTGCAAAGAGGTCGAGTATATCGAATAGTTGAACAATCAACAGTCGATTACAGCTCGGTTGTTCTTAGACGATTTCAGAGAATGCAAAAACATAAATGTGCAGTCGAATAAACTGGAAGCGAATGCCGTTTACATAAATTTGTAAGCAGCATAAAAATCTAGGATAGGCACCGGTATAATGCGCAGAGCGCATATTTACCTTTCATACAGGGAAAATGTTAATTTGTTAGATCTCTATGCGCACCAGTAGCCGACTATGAACAGCTGTATTGTGCTCGATGAGTGTGTTATTCTGTCAGAGTCCTGTGGAACAGGCCAGGTGTGAGGCCAGCCCGCTATCGTCACTCGACACAACACTCCAGCCCGCTATCGCCACTCAGCGGACTGCGGAGTGTCCCGGCTATCTTAGCCCGGCACGACGATAGCACAAAGTTTTGGGCGATTGTGAGTGCGCAAATGGCTTTAAGCGGAGCTGAGGGCTTTACTAATATTGTGTGGACCTAAAGGAAGGGATAGTTCTAACTAGTGCTGCGGAGTTGGAATCGGAGTCGGAGTCACCAAAAAATCCATCGACTTCGCAACCTTGGTTCTAACACTGCCTCTCCGATGTTTTTCGTTTTGGTTATGCATGCAAGTTCATGTATGATGAATAGAAAACGATTGCTATGAAGTTAAAATATGTCCAACAAAGTAAAAAACAACTTGGTGCAGAAACAGGAAGCGTGAAACATTTTGAACAAACATTGCCGCACGAAGCTGGATACGATGCCTTGATATGTAAATGACACTAAAATTCAAACTCTAAGTTACTTTTCATTATAAACATTTGGGAAGCTTCACAGATAGCATCGAGGAAGAAATGTGATATGTGTCACGCTAAGTGATAAGACCAAGATAAGACCAGTAAAACGCCTTTTGGGCGACAAACGGAGCGAGCGAGAGGATGGGCCTTGCACGTGCGAAATTGCGAGGGGGTACCTCCAACTAACTTGTGCACTGCACCCTACTAACCGGTCTTTAGCGATGTGCCAAATTTCAGGGCAAACGGCCTAGCCGTTCTCGAGATCTGGAAGCGGCACACTGCACGTGCGCACGTGCAAGCGGGGTCCAAACTGACTTTTGCACGGCACCCTACTAACTGGTCCCCAACCGTGTACCAAATTTGAGCGCAATCGGCCCAGCCGTTCTCGAGATCTGGGAGCGCCCCCTGCACGTGCGCACGTGCTGTAGCACCCCAACCTTAACACATGCAGATGAATTATCTGATGGAGACCTAACTGTGTACCGAGTTTCAATTCAATCGGCCCAACCGTTGTGCCGTTATTGAGGTTGCAATTTTGGGGGTTCTTAAAAAATGTCCAACTTTACCATGCGCCACGTGCGGTGTTTGGCAAGAACGCATGGTGGCCATCACACCACAGAACTTTTACGTCCAAGTGACATTCAGTAAAGAAGACCGCTTGTCAATCGGATGTCCCGTTCCTAAGATATTAGCTTTTGAAGAGCGTCCCCACGGCCGGCCGGCCGGCCGCTCATACTCAGGATTTTCCCTTAATTCAGTATGAGACTCCGCTCGCTTCGCTCGCTCCGTAACAAACTTTACATTTTATAACATTTACATGCAATGACTCAACAACATAAAATGTAAGTAGTTTGTAAAATGACAGATTATGCTTCGAAACGATTAAAAACAGTGCATGAAGAACGCATCACCGGCGCTCTGCTAACACTGGAAGGATTCATCCCATCGGTGTTATTTTAATAGAACCGTCCTTCAGGTGCATATGCAGTAATGTAAATATAATATCTGTCATCCAAATATTGGAACTGGCGCCGAGAACATCGGTTTCTAGCATAATAATGGTGTGCGGGTTCAGATGTGTTTGAACAGGTGTGTTCGTAATGAGTCTGTAGGGGACGCAACTAAAAAGGAAAAAAAAACTCAGCTAGGAAGATGAGGGCATGCTTGTGAGCTTACAAGAACTCTTCCCTTAGATGAAAAACAAAACTTTGGTATGATTCCATAGAAAGCCAAGTCTAGGCAATGCTAATGAGATTGTCTGGTGTAAATCTAACACGTACATATGTCGTACACACATCAGACCAACATCCTGCCATGCTTGCAAGACTGCATAATTGAGGGTGCATTGCGTAGGTATTCCAACGACACATGTTCGCATCTGCATTGATTGCCGGACATTGACAGCTAGACTATCAACTTAACATCGGTTGAGTTCCTTTTTTGGGAGACAAAGGGCAGTAAGATGAACGTTCTCAGCCAAATCAAATATCTCACGGTGTTTCACGTCACAGTTACACCACTAATCCCATCTCCAGCACGTGCACGGGGTAGTGGCACCCCTGTATCACCTGCGCTGCGCTCCCTCAGTATTCGGCACGGGACGTCGCTTCCCTCGGCACCCGTCGTCACCCATCACGGCCAGATGGGCGGGGCGGCTGGCCGGGACGACAGTTCCGTCCCACCGCCCTATACTGACGAATGGGGGCTGTCGACCAGCGCGAGCCGCCGCCCGTGCCGCCCCGGGTGACAGGAGTCGGCGGGGTGCCACCCTGGAGTACCTACAGCTCGATAACGCCCTGAACCAACCAGGAGTTATTGGGAGACGTAACGCTGGTACTTACCACCTGGTGGCAGTACCGCGCTGGCTCACACGCCTCTTAGAAATATCACAGCGACCATACCGTCCTTGCAGTCACCGTTCCATGCTTCTATCCTCAGGATACTGAAATCCTTCTCCTCCACGCCGCAACCCCCCCTCCGGGCTGGACAGGCAACTTTATCTCATGCGGGCTGCTCCCTTGGAGCGGCACCGCTGCTCCCCAGGGAGCGCACCCCGTAGCCGGGTGCAGTGAGTGCCTTGGGGCTGGGTGGCCTGCCTCTGGACGGGCTCAGTCCCGGCGACTCACTAGGGTGCCTGCCCAGACCAATGTCTCCCAGTCCCCCTATATCCTATCATCCTCCCGGCTCTGAAATGGTCTCATTGGACCGAAAGGGCCTAACCCAACAAAACAAAACCAAAAACCTTGCAGTCTCTGCAATCTTAATTCCTAAGCCTGATGTATAGGAATAACTCCATTATAGTTAAGCATAACATGTATGAATTCAGGCTCATGTCTGTACAGTGAACAGCGAGCTGTATTTGCAGCGGTGAATGGCACTCCCTCATCTGTTCAGATTATTATATGCAGTGCGGCGGCTGACAAAATGACGCGATAGTTCTGCCGACATTCCGAGGTCCCGCAGCGCACCAAGGTGCAGTCAGTCACCCGAGTGGGACGTTCATGCACGCCAATGGACTTTCAGACCTCAAAGATCTCGACCCAGGAGAACGAACTTCTACCTTTGCTGTTCTATCCGTGCACCTGGGTAGATGACCACGCGGAAAGGGTCCGTCGTTTCGTCATCTACATGTTCGATCAACATCCATCTCTTCCTTTTTAAGGAGGGATTGGAAAACACATTTTCCCACTTATGTTCTGCATTGAGTCATTTGCATGAAGTCAAGTGAGTGAGGTTGCAGAAAACAGAAGCCGTGCGTGACTTCAGCTGTGACAATTGACCAAGCAATGATTGGGAGCACTAATCCGAGAGAACGCAGCGTGAATGGTCAAACTTTTCTCGCTTGTTTCCATCTCTACCATATGGCGTAATTGCAGAGCGCGCAGCTTTTCTTCATGCTTGAAGCCTAACTCAAGACCAGTGCTAGCACTGTGGTATGGCGTTGGTGCTGACGGTGCCAGTGACGGTCGTAGCGGTGACAGTGGCAGTGGCGGTGGAGTGGCTGTGCTGGCAGCAGCCCGCTGGTCCTCTCACCGTCGCCCACCATGCTCTCACCGCCCGTACCGCCCGCCCACGGCCAACAAATATGTTTGGTCACCTCAACAGCGGAAACGCCCGTCCTCTCTCTCCTGCCGCGCCCGCCCGCGCCCGGTCGGGCGGGGGCGGGGGCGGGGGCGGGGGCGGCGCACGTCACGTGACCCCCGTGACCCGGCGCCGCCCAGCGGGGTGCGTGTTTATGGCGCGTGTGCGGCGTTTGTGACGCTCTGACGGCGGAGGCCGACGCAAGGTCACCTCAGACAGGGTGGGCCCGAGTTGGAAACCGGCGGTCTGGCCACGTATCGGCGGAGAGCAGTGTTATTTGTCGATAGAGGTGATAAGGTATCCAGTACCAAGCACCTGGTACTTACCTGGCACCCAGTACCAAGCACCTAGTACCTGTTCACCTGGGCGTTACGCATTCCAGGGTCTACCGAGCGGCGTCTTGCGACACGCAGTGTGACGTTTGTGATGATTGCGTGACGTGAGTCGCTTGTGACGCTACATCCGACAGGTGTTGATCGTTTTGGAGAGCCGTAGAGCGATCGGTGCTCTGCACAACAGGATGCAAAGAGCCAGCCGGGAGAGGTCTGGCAGCATACATGCTAACAGCATGTTTGGTGAGGTTACAGACCAGGTATGGACGCGAGGGCACAGGGTCACGGACTTCGACTAGTGATGCTTCATAAGGCACAGACACGCGATATTGGGCATAGGCGAACTGCGCAGGAAGAGGAGATGATTTTCGTCATGGCTGAGCTAGTTGAGTGGGCGAAGCTGTGGGGTCGAGTGACGTCTGTAAATCAGCCAGTAGAAGACGTGCTCAAGAGCCCAGGCGCCACATTTGGGTGCGGCCAAACCAAATACTGGGATCAAAAGGGATCAGAGCATTCATTCTCGCCGCTCGCGTCAGGGTTGTGGCGCAAGTTATAGGAGTGACATATATATAACATTACGTGTTTTTCAGTATTGTTCATTGATTTGGAATTTGAGCCCCTTCAGCTTTCGCACCATCGGTTCACAAAGTCAAAACAACGGCGCCGAATCAAACCCATGCTAAAGGACGATTTATCAGGCATCCTTCAGTCTCCGCCACATTACAATAATCCAATTAAGAGTCACCACAAAATTAAGAAATAAAACAAATGAAATCTGAAAAACAAATAAGGGGCAAGTAAAGTTTATGCAAGTCAATCAACTTCAATAATAGATTTAGCTGTTCTACCTATATCGGCGGTGGCTCTCTCCTCGACATTCCAATCACACGTTTGCGTGGGGCACTGAGCAGTGAGCCCTTGATAGCGTGATTCCGTATCTCATTTTCCTGAATTTCCTCCCATGGCACGCAACTGACACGCCTTCGCCTCTCTCTCTCTCTCTCTCTCTCTCTCTCTCTCTCTCTCTCTCTCTCTCTCTCTCTCTCTCTCTCTCTCTCTCTCTCTCTCCCCTCCCTCCTTTCACCAGCTGTCGTTGCTCCTACTCAGAGTGACGCCAGTGTAACAGACGAGTGGTAAACACCTGTTGAACCCAGTCTCTAACAATTTGTAGGTTTCTGTTGACCATATTCAGCTGACGGGAGCCTCTTTTACGACCGATTGCATATATATCAAAGGGGACGGGGACTGGCAATCAATGGCAATTGAATGGCAAAAAGCCCCATCAACACTTCGAGCCTGTCTTACGCCCAACTGATAGTGTTGAATAGCCAGGCGAATCTTTGGCGCTTCTGTATAATTAGGCGTATAAAAAAGACAATATATTCAAATACACAATTAAAAACAGAGCTTTCGGTAACAAATTAAAAACAGAGCTTTCGGTAACATTGATCACACAGTGATCAAGGCATTTGTTACCGAAAGCTCAACAAATTAAAAACAGAGCTTTCGGTAACCTTGATCACACAGTGATGGTATTTGTTACCGAAAGCTCTGTTTTTAATTGTGTATTTGGATATATTGTCGTTTTTTACATATATCTGTCATGGTCTGGATAACACACAATTAGGCGTATCTTGTATCTTCCTAACACGGACCCAGTGGTGGGATATGGGAATCACCACCTGAGGCTCAGCACCACATGGACGGCTGGATATTCTACCAATGGCTGCCTCTAAGCGCCGCTGTCAATCACCCACATCAATCGCCCCTCCTCGCGCGCCCTTCCACTCGCAGCGAGGACACTCTCGGGGACGACCCACTGAAAGGCCGAATCGGCACAAACAAGGCTTCACCTCCTGGGGTCGTATCTGGGGTTGGCTCACACCCTGCCGTCAAAGCGCGCGCGCGGAAGGGCGCGGCGGCGGAAACGGAACAAAAGCGCGCGCTCTCCGGAACAAACAGGTGCGCGGGAGGCTCACCGGACGGGGGGGGGGGGGGAAGGACGGGGGGGCGTATCCGTCCGTACGTCCGTCACGGTTCCTCTGATAAGGACCGACCCGCCGGCTGCGGTGGGCGTTATGGGCCTGTCGAGCCGAGACAGAGGCCTGCCAGCCGCCTGCCTGGCCCCTTTCCGGTGCCTCCGCAGTCAGGGGCACGACCGCGGCGGGACTGGGTTTGGTGCCGCCGTATTTGTCGGTAACACTGGTTACTCGTGGGCGGGACACACCCTATGTTAGCCATAACGTCGTGCGCTATTGGTGTTGGTAGGCATCGATCGGTGCAGGTAACATGAATGAGTGATGTTGGGTGTAGGAATATGGACGGTTATTGTCTTGATATGCAGTTGCTAGGAGGTTTAAAAGGTCACCAGACACCAACATTCATCGGATGGGTCTGATGCCTTTTGTTTTTGTCTTGTTCAGTCTACAGACATTTAAATACGATTTTCTTTTTCTAAAGAACGGGCAACAGCGGACCAGCGGACAAGTAAACATTTTCAATAAGTGATATTATTGCCATAGTGATATTATTGCCTATTTGTAGGTGATGCCATGTGTGGTGATGTGCTGGTACTGTTCGTGTTCATGTCGGAGTTTATAATTTCACTTCACAACTCCAACAATCGTACAAGGCAACTGAGGGTGTTACAACCGTAACTGTCACTGCAAATTGCACGCTGCAATGTTGTCCATCATCGCTATTTGGAGACAATGAACGCTGAAGAAACATGTCAGGTTATCTGCTTGATAACTCGCCACTTCTCTACGAAATCAAGAGCGTTATCAGCATTGAGGCGAACAAGGGTCAATGTGTTTCACAGAAGTCATATGAGCGGCACTAGACAGCAGACAATGTTGATACCAGAGTATGTTGATAAAAGTCAGTTGATGTTTTCTTCAGATCAGAACCGTGCGTGCGTGCAAGTTTCGTTTTGCTGGTGAGCTAAAGGAAGCGCGACTTCACAAATGTCTGTTCTCGTTATATGGACGTTATGTTACGTAACTTATTGCTAAGCAGTAAGCACGATCGGTTATGAGCATTTATAATTTGCAGCACAAGTGAATGTAGTCAAAATCAAGCTTTATTAGTTTGACCATCAGGAATGCCAGCGTTGGTTTTACAAAACAAGCTAAAGCAGGCCTGTATAAGTCACGAAACTTTGTATGTGGGCAGGAGCATTCACGGTATTTTCATCAACCTCCAATACTAGAAAGTTGTAAACATACGGATGATTACAGCGCTGTTAATGGTCCAGTGAAGGAACATTTTTGAGAGCCAGTAACATGTGAAGCGGCACGGTGCTGTGTAAACGTTACATCACCACCTGCCAGTACAGCGGGGCCACACCTGTACCGCCAAGGAGAACTTCGCGCGCAGATGCGCAATGAAGCGCCGCCCCTTATATGGGGGCTTCTAATTGGTGAAACGTGTCCTTTCTGAGGATTAGTGCAGTGTGAAACATGACTCTGCAGCGTCTGAGCCGGCCGGTTCTCAACTTAGCCAGCCTCTGTTCCAGTTGCACGGTACCCGACCGGTCCAGGGTTCAGCCGTGCTCTTCAGCTGGCATTAGTTGGGTCCAAGGTTCAGCTCTGCTCTTCACCGGGTGCTGAGCACCTACCACTCGACTGGAGGCCAGCCAAATGTGACCTCGACCGGCGCCAGTGGGGAGTCGCATACGGAAGGAGCCGAGTCTCACCTGGGTGTTAGTCCTCGTGACGACGCCATCTTTATGTACCCCGCATCGCGGTGACTCAGCGTCACACCCAGCCACCGTCACGGGGTCACGCCGGTAGTCACAGCGTTACGCCAGGTGGCTGTGACAGAGTTGCGCCAGGTGCCAGTCGCAGCGTTACGGCCTGTCACAACCCGATCGCGTCACGTGACCAAACAGCTGTGTGGCGTCACACCGGGAGCGATCGTCACACTCGGAGTCACTCGTGTGAGCGTCACGTCACGTGCAACAAGCTCCACACCGTGCTACTTCGCGCACCACACGGCGACAGCCCGACCTCGCCGAGCGCCCGGAGTAAACTGAGAGGCACCGCCGCCCGGCACCGCCGCCGCCCGCCGCCGCCGCCGCCGCCGCCCACACCTGACCGCCGCCGCCGTCGCCGCCGCCCGCCGCCCGCCCGTGCTCCAAAGGGATCGTCACGGATTAACGCAATCTGATTCGCGCTGTAGACTTTGGGCTATCAACGAGCACCCTCAAAGGAGTGTTTTGTGGCGAAGTTTTTTTTTCCGCTGCACCAAAATCAGTCAAACTTGAGTGAAGTAATGTTTATTCACACGACATAGGCTAAATTAGCAAAACAAAGTAAGATTGCCTCTCCATCTTTTTTAGCCAGCATATCTAATTTCGATTAAATTTTTGTTAAAAGGAAAGCAAAGCTATTAAGAATATTAAGCGTGAGCACAACACGCGGCAACGATGTTTGTATTAGAAGAGATTTGTCTCTCACAATGTGGGACACTAAAAGTTTTATTGGTTGTCTACTGTCCACTTTGATGAGACGTAATTCGCGCAAGGTCAGAACGGTCCGGCAATCAGTGAAAAGTGAAAACTAAACTAAAATGGTCGAAATCAAATGGTATATTAAGCTATCGGTATCGTACAACACCTCTTTCAAGGACGAGGCTAAAAAACAACTGTATGTGCCGTTACGAGATGCAGCGACTGGCATCCAATTCCAAGGACTCAGACTGACCGGTAACCTCTAGGGTGAGGTCAAGTGCCCTAATTTCGGGCTTTTTTGTGTGAATATTTTCGCAAAACATCACAGAATCAAAATTTTTGCACCCTGTGTTCTCTCTATGTAAAATCGTTGTGAAGTTATGCCCCAGAGGTCCCCAGTTGACCTGAGACTTTAACCCTCGCCGGTACAGGGCGGGGTTGATGCAACCCCCAAGGTTTTTCGCAAATAACTCGCGTAAAAAGTGGTCGATCGCGACGAAACTTTCAGTACACTCACGTTAATCAATTTTCCACCCACCCTGAAAATTTCATGATCCTGACCCAAATGACCTATAACCTGTAACCTACTTTTCGAAATGCATGTTTGGCCGGAATCGCGATTCGGCGTACATATGTCGGCTCGCATTAGCCGCGCGTTTGCAAGCTTCTCGTGGTTTCAAGCGTTCAAACATGTGATTTGATGCTGCTCCCATGCATTCGGGTGGATGTCAAGGTCACCTGAAGATCAGGTCAGGTCATTGACCTTTGATGACCTCGGTCCACTTTTTCTAGTTTGCTGAATTCGAATTTAGGAACCATTTGAACATTTACGAAGTAGTTTTGGTGCCTTCTTATAATGTAACAAAGCTGTCAGAGGCGGTCGACACCTACTACGAATACCCGGCAGAACCCCTACTGGTTGACCTGACCTGACCTGACCCGACCTGGCCTAAATGCATAAAGACATCATCCGTGATCAAAACTAACATGATATTCGTGATCAGCACCCCGAGAACCCCTATACGTAGTAGGCACACTTCACGACGTTCTAACAGGTCCCGATTTTTCCGACTTTTGGGTCATTGACCTGACCTGGAAGGTCAACAGACGACCTAGGTCCTTAAAATTGGGTATCATCGGCTTCCTCTCGTCACGGGCAACGCGCTAATTTTTTTCCCGTGAAGCTCTAGCTCGATCACGGGCCAAACCTAGGTAGGGGGGGGGGGGAGGTTCGTACCAAACCCCCTTGTGCCCTCGAAGGACGCAAAATGGCCTGTGCCGGCGAGGGTTAAATTTAGATGCCAGTCGCTGCGTCTCATAGCGGCATATGCATTATTATGAAGTCGCTTTCTTATTAACCCGCGCCCCGTTGGGGTCTGCAGAGCAACGCGCCCTGTTGGGGGGGGGGGCAATTTGGCCCCCCTAAGATCTCGAGAACCACGCAACATAGCGACAAGCAGCAAACGGTGTTGGATACCCCCAAACAGGGAACTACCTTGTGACCCAATTTCATTGACCTAGGTCAAACCGATGACGTCACAGCTCACAGGTCAGGTCAAATGTAGAATTTTCACCGTTTATAGCCTATAGGCATTTCAAGAAATGCGTTGTAAAATCGAGTAAAATGCATTTCATCGAAAATCATCGAAGGGGAAATGTTCGTCAAACACATATTTTGCTATCTGAGGTCACTGATACCAGGTCAGGTCACAGAGGTCAGGTCACTGAGGGTCACAATATGAAAATGTCATGTGATGCATGTTTTATGGTCCATTTTAAATGCCAAATGCGATTATGTGGGTCAGGCATCCTTTGGCGTCAGTTTAGATTATGTTCTGTTCAAGGTCAGGTCAAGGTCAGGTCAAGGTCAGGTGAAGGTCAGGTGAAGGTCAGGTCAAGGTCAGGTCAAGGTCAGGTCAAATAAGTCAAATTTCAAAGCTGATATTTTGGCATAAAGTGGGTATCGAATCGATGCAGCTCGTCACGGGGAGTCTAATGGTGGTCTTAGTTTTGCGCTACATGGTCTAGAATTGCTAAAAATTGAGTTCAGAAATTTGACGTCATCAATTTTGAACAGTAGCTTTGTGAGCGTTTCAAGATTTCATGTTTTTTAGTCATTTTTGCTCGAACATGACCTCAGTTTGACCTCAATAACTCCTGACCTACGGTGACCTAAGGCTTGAAATTTTCTGTGAAGATGTCAAATTGATGCCCGGGAAGGTACTGAAAAATTGGCGGCGCTGCGCTCCGCCGTTTTCTTGCTATTCGCCAGGAAAACTACAGGGGGGCCATATTTCCCTCCCCCAACGGGGCGAGGGTTAAATATAGGCACATTGACGTTGAACATATTTACGAAACAAATCGATCATTTGTCATTGATCCACAGTATATAGAAAAGCATCTACTAGAAACACTACGTACTAATGCATTCACGTCGCACACATTTCGCACCACCTCCGCCTTTTGAAAGTTGGCACAATGCAGAAAGGCAGCGCTCAAGCATGGCATTTACTTGATGGATAACTTCAGTCCGCTTTACTGGCACTTAACATTGCTTCATCTACACTACCCTGACATCTATGCCTGATGACAACCACAGAATAATTCAATCTTTCGTACCTGCCTGGCACAGCGCGCTATCCTTTCAAAGCTCCGTCACTGCCCCTGCTGTCCTGACTTGATGCGTCCCTCGGCTCCACGTCCTTTCCCGTGTCAAAGTGCTGCTGAATCTGCTCCAGCGTCTTGCCCCGAGTCTCGACCAATGTCAGCTGTAAGATGACCGCGCCGATGAGGCAGAGACAGGCGTACATCCAGAACGTACCCGCCGGGCTGATGGCATCCTCCAGCGGCTCGAAGGTCAGCGTCGTCAGGAACGAGGTGCCCCAGTTGAAGAAGATGGCGATACCACTGGCGAGGTTTTTAACATCAGGTGGGAGTATCTCCCCTGTCGGGAAAGAGAAGAATTCAGGACTTGCGCCTGCTTTTGTGGGGCGGAATGTGTCGATTTCGAACGAAACCAAATAAACTGTCGGGCTTTATCCATAGTCCTTATCCACTGCGGGTGATGATGATGAAATGTATCGCAAAGCATCGTCAGGTAAATTATGACAGTAAACTGTTCACCAAGTACTGATTTTGGGCGTAGCCGAGGTCATAAAGTTTGTAGTTTTTGATGAGTATGCGAACATCTAAATGTTTTAAGCTACATGTCAATACGCACCTCAAATTGCCAAGGCCTGTCATACAATGTCATTCGAATTCAGATTTCAGGTCAAAATGTAACTTTTTCATCCATATATTAGCCCTGGCTGGTTTTATGCGTGGGTGTGGGTATGCAAGTCTTCACAATGCATGCATAAATGCAAGCATGCATAAGTACTTTCGAACGCTTGATGTATGCTTGCGTGTGTCACCGCATAAGAATTATCAAGACCTAAACGAACCATTGTTCAAGCGTAAATGACGTTTCCATAAGTGCTATATCACCTTACCCTGACTAACCTTTACCACCAGCACGACGTTTCTAGGAACACCTTAACACATTTCCATGATCTTCACTCATTTTATGTAGAACATTGGATGGGGAACATCTGCTAAAACAATCAGCGACAGCTTTAGATGTTGGACATGCAGTTCATATGCCATAACCTAGAATATTTTTAAGGAGACCCCGTTACTGTAAGGGACCGGGTTATGTAGAAAAATGGCCCTCCAAGCGCACGGTAGACTCACTCCAGCCTCACCCATGTAAAGGTAGGTAATGGGGCCGAAGCCGATGCCGAAGCCCAGGAGGAAGACAACGACAGACGTCAGCGGCAGCCACTCGATTGCCGAGACGTCCTGCCCAGTGTCTTTCAGCCTAAAGAAGACGCCCAGGACCACCAGGCTGGCTCCTGTGATGACAGAGGAGGCGACCAGGAGCGGTTTTCGGCCGCGGCTGTGCACGGCTGCCACCCCCAGGGCTGTTGTGCAAACCTGCCAAATCAAAGCAAAGGAACAATAGAGATGCTTCAGATGAAAGGAAGGAGATGTTCTGACATTCCTTGGACTCATTAAAAGCTGCAAAAATGGTTTTATCAACTGGTTAACTTGTTTGAGCTCCATCTTCCACAAAACATTGGCGATTGAAAATAGATTGTCAACAATACTGCAGAAGAATGCGGCTGAAAACAATCACCTGATAATAGTGACAATGTTTAAAACAATTTGTAGCAGTGTTGTAACCACAGCGTGGAATTTACTTTTGTCAGTCCGGAGTAGATAGCCGCTGTGCTCGAGTCCATGGCCCCGCCGGCCTCCTCGAATATATCCGCTGCGTAAAAGGTGATGATGTTGACACCGCAGCCCTGCTGCATAATGACGACGAGTAGCGTCAGCGCCAGCGGCCGTCGGTACTCTGGCCGCCTGAGTTCGGACAGCGCCGCCTTCCCGGTGGCCCGGCCGGTGCCCAGCGCGGCCAGCTCGCTCTCCACATCAGCCAGCTCTCCGCGCAGCCAGCGCAGCGTGGCGCGCGCCTCGGCCAGCCGGCCGCGCTGCGCCAGCCACAGCGGCGACTGGCAGCTGAGCGTCACCAGCAGCAGCC